CCCCCACGGTTTTGCTGCTGAAATCCCCACCCCCTCCGCAGATTGCCTGCCTCAAAGGCTGGAGCAGAAATGTCAAATACCAGAGCATCGCTGCTCCAGGTAGTTGTTGGAGGGAGCAGAAACGCTGCTGTCCCATGAGCAAGGTCCCAGCCCACCTCCACCAGCACACCGGGGAACACACCTCAGCAGAGCTCCAATTTCCCAGTTAAAGGGAGATGCTAGCATGGATTGAAACGCCAGCATGCTGGCTCTATTTTAAAATTGGATTAGGAAAATAAAAGGAAAAGCAAAACAGAAGAGCCACCAATAATCTCTCAGCCAGGAATCAGCACTAGCACTGAATATAGAGATTAAAAGGAAACGCTAAATATCTAAAGACAATAGAAAACTCCTCCTCCCAGCTCTGCATGTCAAGTCCTCATGCAAGCCTCTCCGGCTTGGCTGAGGTCAACAGATCACTCTCCAAGGAACCACCAAGTCGTTAGAGGTCCTTTGCTGTAAACTCACAGCTCCTGCCTGCTCCGGTGCAGGCCAGACCAAAGCAGCTCCCTCCAGGGCAGGCGCAGGAGCCCTTTTCCCCTGGGTAGCACCCCCCTGAGCCACCCAGAGAGGAGTGAGCTTCAGGAGTCTCCTAAGGGAAGGGCACTCTGCTCCCCAGCATGCTCAGAGCCCCCCAGTGCCAATCCACTTCCCCCAGTGCCCTCCGTAGCTTTTCCCGGTATTGTTTTCGGTATTGTTTTCAGAGGAGCCCTGTGCCCGTGCCATCCTGCCTGCCTCTGCTCAGCGAGGCACCTCTGCAAGCATCGCCCCAAGCTATGTCATGGAGATAGCTCTGACTCATCACACCGGGCGCTTCCGACTCAGTTACAACCAAATGAAAGTTCAATGCCATTTCAAACGGCATGACACGACAAAGGCTCGGTAATTGCTATTTCACTTTCAAATACCTACATGCCTCTAGCTCAGCTTTAATTAGTTTTAACTCCAACAAATACTGGCAATTTATTATAAACAAGCAAAAATATTTAAATCCAGTCTGAGTTTATTGGCTGAGGCTCCGGCTGTGCAAAAACTCCAGTTTTTGTTGCTAGAAGTATTTGGTGTGCAGGACTGCGAGTAATTGGATTTTACTCTACTCCAAGTCCTTCTGTTGTGTTTTGCTGTGAATTTGGGGTGCTACAAGGTATGAACAAAGTTCGGAGGAGCGCAGTCATGCTTTGTCACAGCAGCAGCCGCCTGCCATAGCGTGAGCTTCCCCATGCCGCTGCACCGGGCTGACGGGCCACGGCCACGGCGGCTGCTCGGGTTCACCATCACCAAATCCCCGCGCGACACTGACCAGGGCACAAGCCTGCCATACAGCACCCCACATCAGCCTGGGTCTTAAAGGTTGGTGCATATGTGCATCCCCAAGCATCCCCACCACACAGCATCCTGCACAAGCCCTATCACTCTTCCCTCCACAGGCTTCAGGTCCAGGGATGGGGACGCTGCTACGCTTTTCCCACAATCTCATGGTTGCTCATGTGCGTTATCATGTGCACATCACTGCAGGGAAACTGCACCGAACAGGAGCTGCAGCTCTTTGGCTCCCAGGAGCTGGGCTTAGGGCCAAGGAGGAAAGAAGAACCACACAAGCACCATGAAACAAAAACAAAACTACAGCGAGATTCAAAAATGACAGCGAAGAATTACCTGTTCATCCCTGGAAGGTTGCCCCAGAAATAGCGTGCTCGGTGGGCAGCCGATATCTTGATAGCGTCAATCATAACCGGGTTACACTGCAGGCCATGAGACGGGGGGGGAAATAAAAGTTAGAGGTGTGGGATGAGCCCTCTCCTGCACGGGAAGCCCTTCCTCAGTGCACTGCAGAGACCTAAAGTCTTCAGCAAATCCTCCTAAGGATGTAGCCCCAACAAACCCTTGTTCCACACCAGAGCACAGTCTAGTCGGCCATGTGGGCTCCCACACCACAGCCATGGCCAGCAGCTAATGAGAATCACAGCATGCTTCAGTGCTGATTTCTCTGGGCCAGGATCAGGTCCATCAGCCTCCGACGGGGCTTTTACACATGGGGGTTCCTGTTGACCCACAGCCTTTCTTGGCTACCACAGAGTTAACAATCCTTTCCAGTCTCTGACCTCCCTCTCCCTAGAAATAACAGGCATTGCTCTGAACAGATGCTTTCTGCAAGGCTGGCAAAAACCTTCCCCCGGAGAAATAGCGCTCAGGGTTAACCTGATGAAAGCCAGAAGGGATCTAAAGCCAAGACTAAAGAGTTGATTGCTAGCATGTACATCAGACAAGGGGTTTTCCAGCATCGGGGCCACATGAAACCACAGCCAAACCCTCACAGCCTCGGCACACCTTGCACAGCCCAGCAAGTGTCTCCTGTTCCGATGTCTTTCCCATCCCTACCTCCAGAAATCGAGAAATGTCCCTCTTGTCGTTGACTCTCATGGCCACCACATTCTCAAACATCCAGAAGAAGGGGCGCTCCTCTCCTGCCTTGGGACGGGCGTAGTTGAGCAGGTGGTAAAATTCAAAGAACAGCCTCCCGGTTCCTTCTGCAAGGGAGAAAGCCGGAGCGGCGGGTTGGGACCGGCTGTGGCACAGGGGGCACGGATCCAGGGGGCCTGGCTGCTCTCCCCACCGCAACTGGCATGGAGACAGTCTGTGCTTTGCAGGTGCAACCCCACAATTTACAGCTCAGAGAGGAGCCACCACCGATGCAGACCGAGGCTGAACTGCTTCCATGGATTTTAAGGTGGCTCCGCACCCCAGGAACACCCCGGGGGTACCCAGCTCTGCAGAGGCAAAGCGGCCTTACCATACAGCCCCTTCCTGGCCGGGTTGACAAGGGACAGGTCGTTACAGGGGCTTCCACCGATCACCAGGTCAAAGGGACCCCACTCCTCGATCTAGAGCAAACAGACCCAGTTAGGAGACGGCACGTAAGCGGGTCCCCTTCCCCAGCCGGGCAGGGGCTGCAGCAGGGACGGGTCAAGGGCTGGTGGGGTGAGACCCACACGGTCACGGCACCACATTCCCCAGCCCTCCCACAGAAGCAGTGCTCACGTTTCTCTTGGTTATGTTCCTGACGTCATGCACATAGGTGATGTTGCCCTCATGCCGCATGGTGCCCACAGCAATGGGGTCTTCGCAGATCTCCGAGGCGATGTACTTCTCCACTTGGATGCCCAAGTCCTTCAGCACCAGGTACCCTGCCAAGGGACAGAGGTCTGAGATTGCACTGCTCTCTTTAGTCTCCCAGTCTCCATCGTCAGAAGCTCGATGTGGCCACTCTCGTATGTGCTAGGTGGGTGCAGTCACACAGGACTTCTAGATGAGCAAACTTATTTTTCTGACCCATTCCTCCAGGCAAGTTTGCTCCCAGAAACTTGAGTCAAACTAGTTGCCCTCAGGCACTTCTTCACCAGAGGCCAGGTTACCAGCACTCCCACAGCTCCTGCTTCTCAGTGAAATCAGCAGGCCAAGACAGCACTCAGCACAGCAAGAACCTCTGTGAGCAACATTCCCACACCTTCCCTCCATCCTGCCATCCATCCCTCCTCCACAGCCCCGTCCAGCAGGAAGGAGAGCCTCTGCTCTCATCCCCTTCTGATGGGGATCCCCCTGCCCTTCACCCCCTTCTCCCCACCAAGCTTTCAGAGACAGGTTCGAGGCCATGAAACTAGTCATCCCCGACTTGTAGTGCTGCAAGCCATCAGGACGGTCCTCTTCCAGTGCCTCACCTGTTGCTATGCCATCAAATAAAGAGAGCACTCGAATGGGTCTCCTCTTCGCTGGTGGGACCGTTGGGTAGATTTTGGGTGCAGCCTGCAATGGAAGGACAGCAATGAAGCCCCTACTCTAGACAGTGCTGCGATGCTCTATGAGGCCAAACCTCGGCTCTACAGGAATCGCCCACACCTTCAGAGGAGCATCTGCACAGCCAAGAGCCCACCATCCTTGGAGAGGGTGGATGAGCCAGACCAAGGCAGAGGCCGAAGAATTTTGAGCTGTTTGCCCTGCCCTCTGCAGCCCTCTTGCCCAAAGCCCAGCACACTGGGCTCGCCTGCCCCCAGCCCTTACGTATTCCTGTCCCTTGTCGCTGGTGAAGAAGTCCTGCAGGCGGGTGTTCCAGTCCTGCCGGCGCTGCAGCACCCCGTAGCTCCTCTGGGGCTGGCACATGTAGCAGTTCCAGGGCTCCTGCTCTTTTGCCTTGGCCGACGTCCCTCGCCCCACCAACACCTCCAAACACTCCACACAGAAGCACCTGCCCAAACCACAACACCTCGTGCCCATCACCTCCAGAAACCCCTCTGGGTCACCCCAGCCTCTCTGGAGTCTCCCCTGCCATGCACCAGAGCCCCCACCCTGTTTTGCAGGATGTTTTTCCAGGCAGTAGCCCATTTTTTAGGGCAGCTAACACAAGCTGGTGACCCAGGCATGGGTAAAGCTGCCATCCTCCCCAGGGCTCACTCAGGTGCAGCCCAGCTCAGCGGGGACAGGTAGGCTGTGCTGGGACATGCCGCATAGCAGCCAGCTGGGGACCAGCACAGCACCCTGCCCAGGCTCACGCATGACCCAGCTTCCCTGTGGCTCCCCAGGAACTCTGCTGGGAGCTCAGCCCAAGGAGCGGAGACAGGGATGCACGGGGCCCACCTGCAGCAGCTGGCGTTGCTGCAGAGCAGCAGCTCCTTCCCTTCGCAGCAGACAGTGCAGTAGGACTGGTAGCCATCTTCGTCGTACATGTAAAAGAGCTCCAGGAATCTATCCTAGCAAAAGGACAGCCAGGAGGACAGAAGGATGGAGGATCAGGATCCATGCAGCTTTGCTCTGTCCCTGATGCACTGTGAGAGCTCGGATGCACGTCCTCGATGCTTTACATGGAGAGAATGTGCCAAGGGACAGCCCCACAGCGGACACAGCATGGCCAGGATCTGGCAGTCACCCCTCCTGTCCCGACAGCGCTGGCTGCAGCAGGGCTGACCGCTGCACCCCCTCCTCTGGCCCCAGGCTCCCACTCAGCCCCGGCACGGCAGCACTTACCCTGCACGTCTGGCAGAGGCCCCCCTCGAACAGCGGGTGGAAGGTGGCTGGGTTTCTCCTTCCGCAGGACAAACAGCTGTCTGCGTGACAGAGAGAGCTCCGCTCACCCCGGGGCAGGCACCCTCACGCAGGAGTGCAGACCCTCTGTGGGGCCTCTCATCTGAACCGCGTGCAGGTCGAGATGCAGCTGTGGCTGCCCCGGGAGCAGGTCCCGTGGGGAGGTTCTGCACAGCAGTCTGCTCCCATCAACACAAAGGGAGGCCCAGCAATCTGCAAGCACAGCACTTTACCCCTTCCTACACGGTGCGGTTAAAAAGGGACCCATGATCTTTGCCTCGTGCTGCCTGCAAGCACCTGCACCAGCCCCACACCTTCTCCCAAGAGAGATAGGGCAATTGATTACCTTCGAGACTCCCACTGTTGTTCGTAACTTCAGAAACCATTTGCTCTTCATAAAATAAAAAAAAAGAGAAAGGTTTATCACTCCTTATGTAACAACCTTTAAATGCGCTCTACTTATAGATGCCTCATTTCTTGCATTAAAACTGCTACGGCTTTGCTGAGCCTTGCACAGAGAAGGCAGGCCATGGGCATATTAGAAATTTTGCTGCAAAACCCATGTCCTTTCACTGCTGGAGATATCAGAGCTAGAGCTCAAAGTAGCAACACAGATTATTTCCAAGCTGAGCAATTAATGGAGCCCAGCTTGTGGCACCATGTCTTGCAGTTGTGTTCGCTGATGTCTTGTAAGGCACAAGCGAGCAACACGAGACCACAAATCTCCAGCCTTCAGAAACCACGCTGGGAAGAGCCAAGCCCTTTCCCAGAGGTTTCCCAGTGCTTCTCAGGATGCACAGCCCAGGCCATGCCGCTCCCCAGCTGCCAGTTACCTCGGGTCTGGTCCTCCTCCACTCGCTGCTCCTTGTTGTTGTTGCAGAGGTTGGTCTTCAGCCTCTTGGGAGGGGGACACTGCTCGAGGGACAGCACCTCCTCCGTCCCGTTCCTCAGGGCCCCGTTCTCTGCAAGGGAAAGGCGGTCCCCTGGGGACGAGTCTCCAGCCCCAGAGCTCCCCAGGACACTGGGGTCATCTCCTGCTGAGCCCTGCCAGGTCCCACCCCAGCCATCTGGGCTCCCCACACATGGCTTGAGGCTCAGCTGGGTCGTTGACTTCCAGGAGCAACGGCTCTCAGGGCGTTTTACTCTGGCTTTTTGCAACGCTACTCTGTGAGGGACCCCACTGAGGAGTGAGGAGCGCCAGGGCCGCCTCAGAACCAGGCCAACTGCTGCTGCCCACGCCAGCCCCATGCCCAGCTCATGCCACCACCTTACCTGAGGCTTTGGGTGGTCGCAGTCCCTTGAAGCCCAAGGGTTTGAAGCCGGTGAGTGCCCAGTCGATCATGGGCTTCAGCTGCTCCTCCAGAGACTCTCCAGGAGTGGCCGCAAACGTCTTCCCCGACCGGCTCCGGGCAACCTGCCGAGAGAGGAGGGACGGCGTGGGCTAGGGTGACGGGGGCTGGTCCCCAGCCAGGGAGCGGCGTGCCTGCAGCGTGCATGGCCCACATGCCTGCCAGGGCCGTGTGGTCCCAGATCCCCTCCCCACAACGCACACACGTGAGCAGGGCTCAGTGTCCCCAGCACAGCGGCAGCTGCTGGATTCCCACGCTGGGTGTGCCCTCAGCCGCGCTCCTGTGCCTCCCCATCCCTGCAACGAGCCCGTCCCACCGGCCCCAATCTACCTGGGAGCTGGGACAGCCCAGCCCCGGCTCTCACCCAGACTCTGCTCCACCATAAGCAACAGGAAGCAAAGAAACGGCAGAAGAGGTGCCTGTGGGTTTGCAGCACCGTAACCCGGGGCGTGATGCATCCCCTGGATGGGGATCAGACCCATGGGGTGCTCAGTGCCAGCTCTGACCACAAAGGGCATCCGGCACCAGCCCAGGATACCTCCTGCCAGTGACACTGCCGTGCAACCACGATGCTGCCGTGTGTCAGAGCCCTTGGAGGGAGCCTGGACCCGGGTTTTCGGGAGCAGCAAGACCCTGGAGCAGCAGCAGCTACTCCTAAACACTCGGGGATAAGCAGAGTCTGGCCCCATGGCTGCACTTGGAAATAGTCCCAGCAGCGAAAGGAGGGTTTTCCTACAGACATCTGTCCACATTGCCCCGGCAGATGGGGGACATGATTAATTCCGGACTGTGGCAGGAGCTCCCTCACTGATCGCTCTCAAGGTGATTTGCAGGCATTATCCAGAACAACCCCCAGATGCAAAGCAACGTGCAGGGACAGAGGCAGGAAGCCCTGGCCCCAGCCACCTCCCCACACACTGCCCGAGCTCTGCAGGCACCTGGGCTCAGCAGATGCCCGGCTTCCCAGCTGGGGCATCTCTTCCTGCCCCAGCAAAGCATTTCCTTCGCTGGCTCAGCTGCGACAGCCACCCTGGCTCTCCCCACATCCCACCGCCCCCCCCCAGAGCCCGGGCGCTTCACTTGGGACCTTATCCATCCAACCCCAGCTCTGCTCTGCGGTTACCTCCAGGGCGTGGTATATGGCTCGTCGGTAGGAGACCAGCTTATTAAACGTTGAAGAATTGAAATGCTGCCTAAATGCCATCAGTCCCACCAGCTTGTCTGCAGAAACCTGGGAGAGCAACAAAAGCTTACCAGCGAGCACGGGCATGCCTCACTTTGTCCGTGTCCCCCACAGCACCATGCCCCCCGCACCGCAGACCCGGCCCTGCAGCACAGCAGTTCCCGGCATGGCTCTCACGCCGCAGCCAAGAGCGCGGGGTTGCGGTCATGCCACGCTGCCGGGGTTTTGTCTGGACTGCGGAGCCGGGCGAGGAAGCCCAGTGTCAGCTTTGCAGAGGGTGACAAGCAGCAGAGGGAGCAGGGCAGAGGCGGTGGCACTGCAGTCATGACTAGGACGGGTGTTTTGCACCCTCTGCTGGCACCACACCTCTGCCGGCACGGCACAGCACGGGCACCTGGCACAGCGCTTCCCTCTGTCCTGCCTGCAGCCCAGGGGAGGTGCAGGATGGCTGACGGGTGATTTGCTCCAGGAGGGCATCTCTCACCCAGCAGGGAGCAACAGCAGCAGCCCTAGAAACCAGGGCAGATGTCCCTGTTGCTGGATCCTGTCACCAGCCTACGGTGGCCCATCATTCGTTATAGACACTAGAGCTATGAGAGCATGCCAGAGCCTGACTACGCTAAAAGCACGGGTCCCTGCCCGGGGAGGCTGCAGCTGGGTGCGCACACACACCCCAGAGGCAGCCCCAGGAATGGGACAGATGGCAGAAATGTGCAGGGGAGGGGACTTCAGCCTGGGCGAAGCCGGGCACAGGCAGGGGCAGGCAGCAAGGCTTACCTCAGAGAACTTCCCGTCTCCAAACCACTGCACCCACCGCATGCCTGTGACAGCCTGCCGCTTGGCTGTGGCTCTGTAGGAGACGACGATCGCAGGCCACCAGGAGAAACCTTTGATCTTTCCCCAGACGAGCTCCCCAATTCCAAATTCCTTCCCATCCTGAAAGCAGAAGAGGACAACGCCGATCAGCCAAAAGCACACAAGCACCTGTGTGGGGGAACAGCCACGGGACGCCCTGGAGAGCTGCTCTGCCACGTGTCACTCACTGCAGCGTGCATGGACCTCTGTGCAATGATCTATAAAAGCTGCACCCCCCTCAAAAAACAGGCAGAACACATCCCCGGCAGTGCTGGCTCCCAGCCCCGCACCACGCAGGAGCTCGTCGGGAAGGTCTGTGCATTGCCAGCCCCACACCAAGCCCAGCGCCTGGCACGCACGGTGCAGTGCGTGCTCTGTCCTGCGCAGCCCTCCTGGCACCAGCACCCTGTGCATGCCCCCTCCTGCCTGCCCTCCCAGGGTCTCTGCAAACACCGGGAAGCCTTTTCCTGCCTTCACACAAACCAGCAGCTAGGAAGCTCTGGCTGTCACAGAAGGGCTTGCAGCAGCACCGATGATGGGAATGACCAAGCCAGCCGGGCAGCAGCTCCTGGGAGCACACACAGAGTCTCCCGATCCCCTTGCCCACCACAGCCATGTTTGTCTGGAGAACTTTGCTCACTGCACGCTGCTGCCAGGCCACGAGACATGGCCCAGGCTGAGGGACGTGGGAGGCACGGCAAGGGATGCTACGTGTCCTGCCTGCAGCAGGGAGGACTTCGCGCCGAGGCTGCTCCCTGGGCTTCCTGAGCAGATGAGGTTCCTCCTTGGCACGGGGAAGCCCCCTTTACAGGGCTCACAGCTCAGCTCGTCTGGCTGCACCCCAGAGAGAGCACCCACCCTCCGCTTGTTCCCACAGGGAGAGCAGGAAACAGGGCAGAGCAAAAACAGAAGAAAAAGAAGAGCTGGGAATTTTGATGTCACCATGCCAAGGGCCCCCAACAGGCAGCCTGACGGGGACCATGCCAGCACCGTGCTGTGCTTGGGGAGGCACCTCTCCCACAGGAGCAGAGTGACCTCCTGCCTGCAGAGCCCTCCTTCCCAGCTTTGTTCTGCAATTAGGCACCTAATTATGCAGCAAGATGCAATTGCCCAATTCCTGCAAGTCTCGGGCCCTGCCCTGACGCCCGCAGGCACTGAATCACTCTCTGCAGCTCCAGCAGCTTCATTCCTCTCCAGCATCCCCCGACAGAAACATTTTCTGCACACGCAACTGCCTGTCCCGGCAGGGCAGGGCAGGGGTGCGCCCCGCCCAGGGTGTGCCACGCACGCGTCTCTCGGGGGCCCTTGGAGGCTTTGCAGTCACACGCGTGGCACAGGCAGCGGCTCGGCAGGATTGGTCCCTGCACAGCACCGGTCTGCAGCAAGGTGCCCCCTGAGCAGCACTGACCCCGCTGCCCTGCCACTGCCCGATGGATGGGGACAGCCCGGCACCATCACACCCTGGACACACACGGAAGGACGGGCTGGGAAGAGGAGGCAGGAGAAGCAGCAGTGAGGTTTCCAGAGGGTCTCTTCTCACCTGCAGGCTTGGGACAAGCCCCCGCACCGTCCCAGGCACAGGATCTCAGCACAGGAGCAGAGTTTGGCCCCGCCGTACCTGGTACTCCAGCGCCATCCGCGTGTCTCTGCTCTCCGGCTCCTCGGTCCCCAGCTCGGCAGAGCCATTCTGCCCCTCCTGGGAGCTGCTGCCAGAGAGCGTGCTGCTGCTCCGGGACGAGTCCCGGGAGTCCTCCTCCGTCAGGTCGATGGTGGTCACGGGGACAGATGTGGCCAGACGCCGCTTGGAGCTCTGCGTGGCGGAGGGAGCGGAGTGTGAATGCAGTAGGAAGACGGGCAGAGGGGCAGGGGGGAGCACAGACTTTCCCGATGTCACCCTGAGCCCCTCGGCCAGGAGCCAGAGAGTGAGGAGGGAGGGGAGAGATGGGGAGTGGGGATGCCACCGTGGCCAGGAACAGAGGGAAGGGCCCAGGACTGGGGTGTCTGAGGGAGAACTGCTCTGCTTTTCCTTGCAAGACACACAGAAAACAATGCACCACTTGCTCTCTTCCCTTTTCCTCTCCCTATTCAGCCCAGGGTGTTCAAAGCACCCAGTTCATAGCAAGGGACAGCAACAGCACACACACCCCCACTGAACAGGGGCGGGGAAACTGAGGCACAGAGCGGCTACAACATGTCTGAAGCCACTTGGCCAGGGCACACACAGCTGGTCTCTGGAGCCCCAGGGAAGCCCCAGGAAAACCCTGACACCCACGCAGACCCTCACCCGCAAGGGAGTTGGCAGGTCCCTGAGAGTCTCCACGCTGTTCGTTTCCTTGACCTTCATCTCATGCTGGGTCTGCCCTGCCTGGAAGATGAGGCGGACGGGGGGCTTCTGCCTGAGGCTGCTCTCCCAACCGGCGCTGCCCCGGGGCCGCACCTGCAACCAGGAGAGAGAGGTGCCATGGCATGACCACCTTCCCCGCGCCAGCAGCACGCAGGCACAGTGACAGCCTCTGCTCCTCGGGGCTGGGCACTGGTGGCACCAGAGCCCTGGGGATGAACAAGAGCACGGGGAAGGCGAGAGGAGCGTGGATGGCCGCGAGAATCACCTTGGGCTGAGCTCCTTGGTGTGACTGTGCACTTCCTGGCATCTCCGCCGAGCTGCACAGCCGTGCGCAGGAGCATTCATTGCTACAGCCCACCAGAAGCTGCTTAAATCAACTTTTGTTTCCAGCTGCCATGTGCATCCTCGACTATACCCTCCCTCACCCTCCCTCCTTGCAGCTACAGCCATGGCGGTGCGACCAAGAGCAGCGGGAGCCAACAGCCAGGAGGCCACCAGGAGAGTCGCGGGCCTTGGCAGAGCAGCCGTCCCGGGCACAGCACCCCACTTACACATGCGTGGGTGCTCTCACACATGTGTGGGTGCGCTCCCTCCCACAGCCCAGCCCTGTAGAGACACCCAGGGCAGCTTTTCCCCTGCGGTTTCAGCAGCCACAGTTTACAAAACAGTCTAACCCAGGCGTGTTTCCTGCATCCGGCATAACTGAGTTTCAAAATGAAATGAGATTTTGCAAGTGAAAAGCCCCAAATCCAACATAGTGGGAAAGCAGAATTTTCACCCCGGTTGGATTTATGGCTCTTTCTTTTGGAAGCTGCCTTGTTACAGGCAGATCTCCAACCTTGGGGTTTTATTTCAAAGTCAAAACAATAAAGCCAGAAGGCAAAAATGCTTCCAGACCCTGGAGGTTTGTCAACCTAATCAACAAAAGGGGCAGGGGGGGACAAAACTAGGTTCCAGCCCCCAAGCAGCTAAAAGCAAGCCACCCTGAGAGCTGGAGACACAAGAGGCATTGGTCCATCAATACGGCCAGGACTTTTTAAAGAAAATATCAGCACAATAATTATTAGACTGCTGCAACACATAATGGGCATCGCTGCATCATGCACCATATCCTCCTGCTGCTGCTGACATAATGTAAATCAAGAATTTAAAAATGAAAACAAATATTATTCTTGTAAATGGATATTGCATCTGCCGTTGGACTGTTCCCCCAGCACCAAGCGCAAGAGCTGCTCCAGAGGGGAACGGGCGAGTGTCCCAGGCACCAGCTGCCCCCCACAGACAGCCCACAAAGCCCCTGGGCGGCAAGGTCTTACAGCAGCCTTGGTGAGTACTTACCTCCTGCGTCCCAGCGAGAGTGAGCGGCCAGGACAGGCCATCCTTGGAGAGGTCTCCCTTGCTGACCCTCTTGTTGTTCTTCAGGGATGGCAGCCCCAGGCCCCCGGCATCTGCGCAGGGACAAGGCAGAGCAGCCTCAGCGAGCCATCCTGGCCGTGGCCCCCACACGCCTCTGCCCACGACTGCTCCGAGCAGCAAGATGTGATTTGTAGAGACCGAAACCTCATCTTGGAGAAATGTGGCCAAGAGCAGAAGACAAGCTGCATGCCAGAGGCTGCCCACCACGGTACTGCTGACACCGGCAGTCCCAAACCACACACCTGCCCCAAAACTGCGAGGGACTCTAATACCAAGTGTGGAGAACTTATGGATCTTTTTGTTCCTGAAAGCTCAGAGGCATAAGGAAACTATTCAGGGCTTGTCATCAGTTCATTTAAAGCAGGACCTTGTGAACCCAAGAGGTGGGATTTGGGCACCACAACCGGAGCATCCCAGGAGCTGTGATGCAGCCCCTCAGGCCAGCAGCACTTCTTTGGTGGGAGTTAAACCATCATGGGGCAGAGCCAACATCCCAGCGTGGCACCCATTTCCACAACCGCTTCTGTCGCCATGACCTGCGCGTGCCACCAGAAAGCAGAAGCCGGTGGAGTCATGGAGGGACCCCGGCCACGGCTGCAATGCTGCAGCCCCCAGCAAGCCCTCAGGACAGCAGGTGGGAGATCCCTGACCCTGTGCGTCCTGGGCACGGCACATCCCGGGCACAGCACGGCGAGACTCACCTGGAGCGCTGGGCTTCCTATTCGCCTCCAGAACAAGGGCGGGTGCGTCGTTAGTGGGATCGGTGCAGTCCCCGTTGATGAGGATCAGCTCCGTCCTGCAGTCCGCCTCATCCCGGCCATGGCTCTTGTCCTTTTTCATGGTCGCCTGTGGAAGCCAGAGTGGAAAGGAAATTTAGCCTTGCAGAAAGCCCCAGGGAAGGCAAAGCAGACAGTGTAAGCTCTTCAAGCCAGCCACAATTTCTCATGCCCTTAGCAGAGGGATCTGACCAGAGACCCATCTGGAGTGATACCAGGAGCTAACGGGCACCTGGACAAAACCTCCCTATACACATGGTGGCCCTGAAGATCCACCAGCTCCAGCTAACAGAGGCCCCAGATGCAACCTGCTTGTCCTTAGGGAAGCACCGAGGCTTTTTTTCAGGGCTGCGCCCGCCCAGCCCCACCATCTGTACGCCATGGAGCGCTCCTGGTCTCTGCACTGCCCAGCCCAGAGTGGCTCTGCCAGAGTGGTCCCAGCCACGGCTCGAGACCCTGTCCGGAGGGGAGCTGCACTTCCCAGCCATCCTGCAGAAACCCGGGGACATCCCACCCAACCCTGGGCACCAGCCTCACTGTGCTCTGGCTGCCCAGCAAATCCAGCACACCCAGCAGTGGGAGGGCTGTTACAGCAGCAGCGGGACACGACAGCTCGCATGGGGGTCAAAGTCCTGGTGCCTGTAGTGAGTTAAATTCCCCCTCCCAAAGGGAGAAATCTCCTACTGCACCCCCTTACCTCAGCTCCCCCCTCCCAGCATGAAGGGGCAGGGCAGGGGTCCGTGCGGCAGCACTCACACACCACCACCCCCTGCCCCAGGGGTTGGGGGAAGCAAGTGCCAGCGTCCCCCCCGCCCCAGGAGCTGCTGCTGTGCAGATAAAGCCTGGCCAGGTGTCCCCCGGGAGAGGTGGGGCACAGCGCCCAGATGCCTCTGCCTTCCCTCGGGAGCCTTGCCTGGATCCTGTTTTGGGAAGTGGAAGCTCCCAGGCTCTCCCAGAGGCTCCCAGGACTACGCTGCCTCATTGCTGGGCTATGGATCTGTGCTGCAACTTGCCCCTTCGCCAGCACAGTCATTTCAAGAGCATGTAAGTCAGCTCAACCAGCTGAGGAGCAAGCAGGGCTTTATCCAGCTAAACCCTGTTAGGAAACAAAAAGCAACGCCCCCCAGCCCCAAAGAGACCCCAGATTTCCAGCCCTGCCGCCCCCTCCCTGGCGCTCTCGCTCAGCATTGCCTCCAACTACTTCCAACAATTGAGATTTCTGCTTCGAGATAATCTGTCAGCACCTCTGACAAAGACCAATCGTGGTTTGAGGTTTCGGATGCTGAGGGCAGCCTTAAAACCCTGGAAACATCCAAAACCAAAGAAAAACAGGTGTCCAGCACCCACCTCCACAGGCAGAGCCCCCAGGTGCATGTCCTGCCTCCCCCCACAGACACATTTCCTCAACAAAGGGATGAGAAGGAGAGGAATGGCACCAGAGGGAGTCTAAAGCTACGTAAACCCCTACAGCTGTGTGCAGAAATCCCACTGCTGCAGCACATCTGCTCCCAGACCCGGCAAACAATTCCTGGGAGCTGCCCAGACTTGCTGGGCTGCCCCCGGCCCGGGCGGCTGGTCCTGCACACCGACCCCGGATGCTCTCGGATGCAGCAATGCGCCCTGATATAGCACAGCCGGGTCAGCTCCACCAGGGTCTGTTCCCCCTCCCCAGCCTGTGATGACACAGAACGTTTTTTTTTGTGACGCTGCCACAAAAAAAACAGCAAATCTCACAAACAAAAATAGTGAATCTCATTTGGGAATCCATACAGCAAGGTGAGAGAGGATACACTGAGCTCTTAGCACGAGAGTGACCCAGAGGAGGGGCTGGGGACAGGGAGATGGGGCAGCATGAGGCTAAGATCCAGGGAGGACAGGAGCAGGCATGGCCACCTCCCAGAGGTGTCAGAGGCCTGTTTGGGAGCCTCAGACAGGAGCCTGAGCCCAGGAGGTTCAAACTTGCACCTCAAAATAGCTTTTTCTCTCTCAGCCCCAGGGCCTGCCCCCGTGCCCAGCACAGCCAGCCCACAGCAGGCGACCGGGCGAGCGTGTCCCTGCCAGCCCTGCGCTGGGGAGGCAGAGGGAAGGGTGACACAGCGGCCAGGTCTCCCCGGGATACACAGCCAAGACTGAGCACCCGATGTGCCAAGCTCGGCTTTGCTGAGTGCTCAGGGAGCTCCAACATTGTCTTTGTTCCAATTATAAAGTGGGGAAAAAAAGTTACCACTTTGGAAGGAACTGCTCCCTGGCAGAGCTGGAGACCCACACTCGGCAGCTCTGCCGGTCCGTGGGACCCGGCCGCAGGCACTGGCATAAGCACAAGCATTTCAGCTCACCGGGCGCAGGCAGGGCCTGCAGCGTACGTGCAGGAGCAAGCAGTGCGTACGCAGGAGCATATGCACTGCTTGCTCCATACACTTCTCTAGCTGCACCACCCGAGATAACTTGGGGACCTCCTGTCACCATCCTCTGATATGCAAGCAGGAAAGGGAACATCATAGCACGACCCAAACTGCAAAGCTAGTCAAAGTCTCACTTTCCCAAAAACCTACACCTAGGAAGCAGGATTGCGATTCCCATCGCTTCTCCTGTTGCTGTTGCCTTTTGCACTGAGCAACAAAGCTGCACTGCATGCCCAGGACCATCCTGCCTGCTAAAGAGGGCCGTCCGCCCCTCCAGCCACTGAGGATCTCGCACAGGAGCCACCGTCCTCGCAAGCCTCACCATCTCCTGCTTGTGAGGAAGACCCAGCTCTTTGTCCTCACCTCGCCTCGCAGAAATGCACACCAACATGTGCACACAGGGCATTACAAAAATAATAGGAAACAGAACACTCCCCTCACATGTTCTGTCTCACGGGAGGAGGAGAAAAACAGCACTGCAGTGTTTGCATTGCTTAATGCACTGCAAACATACAGGCATGCACTACAGCCATACGCTTCATACAAGAACCCATGAAGAATAAAATAATGCAGAATTCCAGCTCAGATGCTCAAAGCTCCCCAAGAGACTGGCACTAGTGGCAGCCCCAACACTGCCTGGTGACCAGGACATGCCCTGCAGCGATACCCCACCAAGACAATGAACCCGCTGACTCCAGATCCCGCCCTAGTTTTGCAATACCAGTTTCTTTAAGGTTTGCCAAACTGGTTAAAGACCATGCCACAACATTAACTGCTTAGAGAGACTCACAATCTCTGCCGGGCCGAGCTCGCCGGCTGCCCTGGAGCGGGCAGAGTGGGCAGAGCGGCTGTGCTCACCTGCGAGGCATCCCGGCAGGGCCGTGCCTCCGGACCCCTGTGCCCCCCTGGACCAGGGCTGCTCCCCCAGCCTGGCTCAGGCTGGTTTCAGTTTTCCTTCTTGAGAAAACAGGCTGGCCCTTATCAGGTGCGTTTCCCCAGTAGGTGGAGAGATTGCAGGGGAGACAGCTGGACTTTGCCTCCAGACAGGGGCATGCATATCAAAAGACTGGAGGGAAGCTTTTTACATGATGGCTGCTGTGCCCCCCTGGACCAGGGCTGCTCCCCCAGCCTGGCTCAGGCTGGTTTCAGTTTTCCTTCTTGAGAAAACAGGCTGGCCCTTATCAGGTGCGTTTCCCCAGTAGGTGGAGAGATTGCAGGGGAGACAGCTGGACTTTGCCTCCAGACAGGGGCATGCATATCAAAAGACTGGAGGGAAGCTTTTTACATGATGGCTGGGATGGCAGCCATCACCCAAGCCGTGTTTGAATAACAAAAATTTTAAAAGAAATAAAGGACCCCAATGGCCGGGGCTAGCTCCTTCCAGCCTGGCTCCTGCCGAGGGCTCTGGGCTATCTATCCCGCCTTTAACTCTCCCCAAACTGAACATTTCCCTCTAATCCTGGGAAGAAAAGAGTTGCTGGGTTGGCAGTTTAGTA